TATTAATTAGGAACAATCTGAAAGCTTAGCTAAAGATCTATTTAAATTGATGCATTTTTAATGGAAATTAATCTTCCCCAACTTGGAAATAAAATAACTTGATAAGATACTAAGCCTGTATGTGTTCAAAATAGGCTTTGAGCATTAGAAAAGAATAAACCAAAAAGTAAAGCTCCAGGAGCTGCAGTTGCTACTGCACACGTTTCCCTGCTCCCCTCGGCTCCAGGCTCCTCTCCTTTGCTTTTCTGCAGGGTGTGAGGCGCCCTTTGTGGCAGGGGAGGAGCTCCCCGGCTGCTGTGCTGAGGCTGGGTGGGATCCAACCCCCAGGGCTGCTTTGCAGTGCCCTGCCAGGCTGGGGCTGACTTCGCCTGGAGAGCATCCTGGAAGTGAAGGGTTAAACTGTGGCCAGCTGGACTTGGAGACAGGCAGCATCCAAAGCAGAGGGGACAAGTGGGATGTGAGAAGCCAGAATGTGCAGGCACTGGGAATTGTGGGTGGCACTGAAAAGCCAAATACACGAACAGAAATACGTATATTTAATATATATTTCCTCTACAGTCACAAGCACAAATTGTGAGGGGGGAAGTGCATCTCAGGAGCAGCATATGTGTTACCTCATGCCTCCAGCTAAGTATACAAGCATGGGAATAGTGTCTGTTTAACATAAAGCTGCAAGTTTGGGGTACAGATGGTAGGAAGTTGGGCAACAGCATGTGTGGCTTGGATGTGTCCTACGTGAATGCCATCACCCAGCATTGTTCTCTGCTAAATGTCACCTTCAGATCTGTCCCTGAGCCACTTGCAAAGATGCTGAGCTCCCTCTCCAGTGCAGGAGAGCTCAGGAAATTGTGTGTGTGACCTCAGCTGGGCTAGGTGAGAATCTAGTGATGATAAAATCAGATGAGAACACAAAGGAGTGGGAGAGATACGGGTTGATAAAACCAGCCAGAGGGACTAAATCTTGTCAGACAAATGTGGGGTTTGCCCTTTCCCTTTGAGGTCAGACACAGAAAGCAATGGACACAGACACCTGTGATTCACTTCAGAGTGAGGCACCACAGACTGATGGGTTGGATTAGCAGGTACAGAATGTGTCTGGGAGATACTGGAGCAGGAAATGTGACTGGTGGGATGAAAAGCTCATTGCATGCAGATTTCAGAGCCGTGCACAGACAGGTAATGAGCAGAGCCTCCACCACACTGTGAAATAAATACTGTTAATGCTGTTTGCAGGTGGGGAACAGGGCCTGGGGAGGTGCCATGATTCATGAGCAGTGAGTGCAATAGGACTGGGAGTAATGTTTTCCAGATTAATTTCATTAGTGTGATGTACTGTGACTGCTTTGGTACACCCCTGCTCCAGCCAAATAACCAGAGGGTACCGTGAGGGGAGGAGGCTTTACAGAGAGCCTCACTCCACATTCAGGCAATATTTTTCAGAATGTTCTTCTGTGCCTATTTATGGTGATCATTTTTATCTTAATAAATCTGGCCAAGCCTATCTTTCAATCTGCTGTGATTGAGGTCAAATGTTAGGAGCATGCTTTTATGGAAATATTTTTGCCCTCATTGATTTTGTTGAGCTCTGTTCTGAAGCTTAGGACACTGTCTGCTTTATGGATGCAATTGAAATCTGTGCTTTGAGCCTCTGCTGTGTTTTCTCTCTAGAATTAAATGCTCCTGTGGTCTGAGTGGAAGCCAGGAGTGGAACCATGCAATGCTTTAGCTGCAGCATTTCATTGCAGAGGTGGAATTTTAATGCTTGCTCCTAGATTTGGAACCTGGCATTGTTAAAGGAGATGTTCCAGCTGCTGGAAGGACGAAGAAAGGGGAGCTCAGAAAATGAAATTAAAAGCTTGAGATTACAAAGACTACATCATCATCTTTAGGATTCACAGTAAAAAATTATACTTCAGATCAGTTTTGGTTTCTAGAAGACAATCTGTTGGTTAATTCCCAGGTCAAAAGGGCTCCTTCGAAGACTCTCTGTGCCTTGACCACTGCCATAAAAAGCAAAGCTGAAAGGGTGGCGGGCCTGGGCTCGAGCACAGCTCTCAGTGTGCTTAGGCTCAAGAAGAAAAAGCAGTTCCATAATGTGCTGTTTTCACCTGGGGAAGGGCAGAGCGGTGTCGGAAGGACAGAGCGGTGTCGGAAGGGCAGAGCGGTGTCGGAAGGGCAGAGCGGTGTCGGAAGGGCAGAGCGGTGTCGGAAGGGCAGGGCGGTGTCGGAAGGGCAGAGCGGTGTCGGAAGGGCAGAACGCGGTGTCGGAAGGGCAGAGCGGTGTCGGAAGG